GGAAATAAAGTCTTTTTAAACAGGGAAGGGTGGAGGGGGTAAAGGGAGGGCTAGGAATGGAGAAAAAATAAGAACCAAGATGCATCATGTAAAGGTACAATTCCCAATGAGAAATGTAATTGTGTTGTATACCTAAAATGCACCAATAAAAGAATTTAAGAAAAAAAAAAGTAATAAAGGAATAGTCTAGACACAGGAAATACACACTAGACATACTATTCCTGAGTATTGTAATAGGATCATAAGTTGAAAAATATTTTGTAAACATTGCATTATTTTGTCCTTTGGAATTTCTAAACTTTCATCTTCACCTGTCCAAATCCTATACATTCTTCAAAGCCAAGTTTAAATACTTTCTTTCTGATTAGGTAGCATGGAGCCCAATTTCATAGTATCTATTTCTTTGAATTTTCATTAACAATTTGTATTTCCTGTAAAGTAGGCCACATAATTCCATTTAATACTCTTGCTATTTGTTTACTACCCTTTATTGTAGAGCACCATCTAGAAAGCTGATTCTATCTCATGGTCAGATATTCTACAATATCTATTACAGGTCTTACACATAATCAGAACACACTTGTTGAACTGAATTTTCCTTATTTAAATATTTCTTCCCTTTCAGATGACCACATGCAGCCTTCTAAAGCAAGTCTAGAAAATCATGTGGTTCATACACCCATTTATGTATGAATTCCATAATTTACCCACCCAACATGTGCGAGACCATGAGCCAACCAAGGCAAGTCCAGACCTGAGCCGCCTCACAAACTCACTGTAATTCAGACGCTTCCTGCACTGTTTGTCGGTGCTGCGCAGTCTTGGTCTATTCCTGTCTTACTGAGGCCTAAGGCTTTTTTTTGTTTCAATGTTAACAAGCTGCTTGAAGAAAAGACTAAGGGCAGGGTTGCTAGTATCTGTTTAAAAAGGGATTGAGAAAATAGAGGCAGTGGTGTGAGTCCTAAGTATAAACAGTATTTTGGAACAGGAAGGCAGCAGAAAACGAGTGCAAGATAGTACATGGTCTCAGAAGTAAACAGGAAATTTGTTCTGAAGAGGATTAGAACAGCCCCAGGTTTTCCTAGGAAAGAGACAGGTGAGGCTAGCCAGTGGTGGTGAACCTATGGTACACGTATTGTTTTTCTTTTAAGACAAAAGATGTTAATGTGTGAGTTGTTTTTTCTAAACTAAGACCTCAGGATTCAGGTTTAATTGCAGTGTTGGCACTTTGTGATAAGTAAGTGGGTTTTGGGTTGCAGTTTGGGCCCTCGTCTCTAAATGGTTCGCCATCACTGGGTTAGACAGAAAGGCTTGCACAGCCGAAAGCTATCTGGAGAGAGAAAGTAGGTGACTGGTGGGAATGAAGTGGTTATTTCTTTTTTCAAGACAGGGTCTCGCTATGTAGCCCAGGCTGGCCTTGAAATCATGGTTATCTTTCTGCCTCATCCTTGCAAGTGCTGGGCTTATAGGCATGCAGTGCCTGGCTTCAACCTGGCTTCAACCTGGGTTTTTCTGAATGCTGACTGACTGAAGCATTGCTTGCTGCAGAAGGAGCATTATCTATCTTCTTGGGAGCTGCTGCTGCTCTCACTCTCCCCACAGCTTAGTGTAACATTAACAGTCTCCACTGAGTGCAGTCTTAAGAGCTATGAAGATAACCACATTGAGCAGACACCTGACTTTTTCCCCTCAGCAAATTTTACTGAGTATCTGCTTTGTTCACGAGTAGGGGGAGATGACAGGAACACAACTATGCCAGGTGCCTGCACCCGAGACGCCTGTGCCACCACTGTGCCTGCCTGAGCTCAAGAGCTAGTGCCTCCCTAGGACACTGTCTTTTGGAAGCTGTCTGCATACATCTAGGAGTAAGAGAACAGCCCTCCCTTCTCCTCCATACCACAGCTCTGCTCCAACCCGCTGCCCTTTTCAGTGCTGTCTTAGTTTCTCTGAGAAATACGAAGGCATCCATCACTGAGTTCAGTAAGTCACAATAATGGCAGTGTCAGCCAAAAGAGCTGCAAGTAAATCAGCAATGTTTTCATTTTAGTTATGAAACTGTAAGATTATGAAATGATTAGGCCTCATTTCAAATGTGTGCACCATAAATTCCTATTAACAGGTCCCGAAAAGCTGTGTGGGGAAGGAGGCTGAGGCAGAAAGATTGTGAGTTCAAGGCCAGTGTGGGCCACTTAGGGAGACCCTGTCTCAAAAAAGCCAAGTTGAGACAAAACTTGAGCAACTCTTAGGAAAAGTTACAAATATTCAAAACAACAAAAACTTAGGACGCACACGGACGCAGCTGGACTCGGACCTCTTTTGCAAAAACTTCCCTTATTATAAAAAAGTAAACTTGGTTAGGGAACAAAACAGGAAACGCAGATAAGCAAAAGGAGGGAATACAGACGACTGGGTACTTCACATACAGCTCATCCCTCACGGTCCCACAGCCTCCTCCCGGGCGCAGGCGACCTCCCACCTGGCAGGCCCCAGCTGCAGTTGGAGCGCAGGGAATCGGCGGTTCCCAGTGGGCAGAAACTTGGGAGGGCAGGGTCGGTGCTCGGAAGAGCGGGCCGGCGAGGCAGGTGCGAGCTGGGGCAGGCCCGACACAAGTGGCCGCGTCCTGAGGTTCGCACCGGACCGACTTTCCCGTCCAGGCCGGCGCGCAGACCTCTTGCGGCACAGACATGGGGGACACAGCGCCACGCGGCCACCGGGCGGCACCCTGAGGGAGCCCTGCCAGCAGACGGCAGGGCCCGCCGAGGCAGACTGCAGCAAGTCTGTCTGTCCTTTTTTGTGGTACGGGCGATCAAAACCAGGGCCTTCGTGCTGAACTACATTCCCGGCCGCTTTTATTTTTTGAGATAGACTCTGACAAAGTTGCTCAATTGTGCAGGCTGGGTTGGTGTGGGGTCGTGACATGCATGGGCCACACTGCCTGGCTACTAACACTAGATCGTAGGACAGCAGCCGTGGGAAGGACACGTGGAAACTGTCTTAAGCCAAAGGGCAGCGAGCAAGGTGCGAGCAAGTGCAAGTGGGAGATAGAGATAGAGAGGCTGGCGGACAGGAAGAGGAAGAAAGCATCCAAGCCCTGGCGCTAAAATCCTGGGGCTGCTCAGCGCAGGCTTCCTCTTCCTGTCGTTCCCGTCGGCTTAATCTCCACCGCTGCCGGGGGGTATCCTTACAGCGACTGCTCTTTATTTAACTTGGGTTGCAACTTTCCGTCATTTTTTAAAAAGGAGGTTGAATTATATAATCAATAAGAAATCTCTTTCATCTCAATGATTTCTAGAAAGTAGCGTTATCTGCATGTCTCACAAAGGGGCCTCCGATTCTGGGAACTTAATGAATCAAAGTATCTGAAGAAATCTTTCACGTTTTGAGTCTGTTCAGAAAGTAAAGATCACATTTCTTTTGAGCAAGGAAAGTATGGTTGGGAAATCATGTAGAAGTAAAGTAAAATATTTAATAATGTTACTCCTATTTTAATTCTAGTGCCTTGTCATTCCCATTCTCATTACTTGTTAAAGTATGTAATTTTCAATATTTTCTAGTTTACTTTCTCTACTTTTCATTTCAACTTTCCTTCCTTTTTGGGGACCAATTTCTGTACACACACATTTCTATTTTTTTGAGACAGTGTCTTGCAGTACCCAGGCTGGCCTTGAACTCATGGCAATCCTCCTACCTCAGCCTCCCAGATGCTGGGATTACAGGTGGGCACCACCACACCCGGCTACACACACTTTTCTTTCTTTTTGGTACCAGGGATCGAACTCGGGACCTTGCGCTTTCGGGGCAGGTGGCAGCACCACTGAGCTAAATCCCCGACCCCTACACACACATTTCTAACTTCTGTTAACATGATTGGCTTTACATTTATAAGGAACTCAGAACAAAATAATTATTTTACAAATAAGGGGGAGCAGGTACTACTTTTCATATCTTTAATTCTTTTTCCTTTATTTCTCTCATTCCTTCTCTTTTCTTTTCTTTTCATTTGGAGACAGGGCCTTCCTGTGTAGCCCAGGCTGCGTTCAAACTCATGATCCTCCTCCCTCATCCTCCCAAGTGTTGAGATTACAAGCCTGCACCACCATGCCTGAGTTACAGCATCTCTTTTAGCTGTATATAAATTAGAACACTGTACATGATGCATTTCTTGTTTCCCTATGATTAGAACCTGGAGTTGGGGAAGAAAAAGTGCTAGATTTAGGATAATTTCTATGCAAATTTGATATGTTAACTAGAAACATATACTCTAACTATCATCTAACATACACATTCAGAGAAAGGATCAATACAGACCTTTCAAGGCTTTAGCATAACATTATTAAAATTAGTTTTAAAAACCCAGTAAGAGTGATAGGAAAAAATTAAGATCTATTCAGTGAAAATCAGAGCTACTGCAATTCTCAGAAAGTTTGGCTGTACTTACAAAGAGGGTTGGCTTGGGTATGAACACACCGTCCTCCTGTTCTCTAGGCACATTCAGAGTCTTGGATGTCTGGTTCTCTGCCACATCTTTCGATTGCATTTTAGTAAGAAGTAAGTTATTCTCGGAGTGTCTAGTATGCATATTAATGAGAATCTGCTTCATTGCTGCCAATTCCTGTTGATATATGAAAACAAGAAAATGGCACGTATGATTGTGGCACAAACTAATAATGATTAATGTTAAAATATTTTTCTTCCAGTAGGAGAAACATTGAAGCAATTGCACTACATAAATGAGGAAAGTGGTAAAATAACATTACTGTGGGGCCGGGGATTTAGCTTAGTGTTGCTGCCTGCCTCATAAGCTCAAGGTCCTGAGTTCGATCCCCAGTACTGGGGGGGGGGCAGAGAACATTACTGTGAGCCTGACAACTGACACTCTGCACTTGGAGACCACACTTTCCTGCACTCCAGAGTCGCTCGTGGGTGTCAAAACCCACACCTGCAGCCTGTGCCTCGAGCCCCAACTGTGTGCTGATTGGGGGGGGGCGGTGCCTGGGCATCCATTCTACTTTTCTAAATGTATCTGTTGAGTACATTAATTAGGCACTTAATTTTTGTCCTTCCCTCACAACAATCCTCCTGTCTCAGCCTCCAGAGTGCTGGGATCACATGTGTGCACCATCGTCCCTGGCCAGACATCACATGTAGTGCAGCTTCAGGGTTTCTACAGCTATATCATTTCCTTAGCCTTTTACAAGTGATAAGTGGAGCTGACTTCAGTTGCCTGTTTTCTTTTTTCTTTGCAGTGCCTCGGGCGGAACCCAGGGCCTTCTGCTTGTGAGGCAAGTGCTAAGAGAGCTACTCCCAGGCCCTTCAGTTGCCTTTTGAGTGAAGTGAATTGTGCTGTTTTTTTTTTTTAAAGAATCCAGATAAAAAAAATTTCACTCATTCTTCTTCTATAGGTCTATTTTGCCTTTTATTTTTCCCCATGGCAGAACTTTTACGATGATACTTATGATTCATTACTAAGCCGATTCATCAGATACAAGTGTATGGAGCAATGACTGACTGCACTTTAATTCTCTGTAGAATAGCGGGAGGCTGTGTACTAGGTAAGTTTTTCCTATTACTTTATTTCATCTTCATGCCAAGACAGAACTTACGGCAAGAGAAAGATACTCTGCTCCCTGCTACTAATCTGTTTATAGACATCAGCTCTGTGTCAGAGCAAGTTCCTACAGGCCTTTCTTTGCTGGGTATCAGTTCTATTTAGAATCGGCTAGCTTGAGTGGGTATTTTAAACCAGAGCTGCTAAGTTGAAGCCACATGGCCCTCACAGGCTTCAGGGCCAGGACAGGAGCTGGGAGAAAGGGCGACAGAGCCTCTGCTCTCTGCAGCGCCGGGCTGGCTCAGCCACAGAACACAACACGTGGCAGTTTCAGACATTACCAGGCTGACACACTATGACTGGTAGCTCTCAAGGTGGTTATTTAATTTATATTCTCCCCCACAGTGAAGAATATGACCACTGATTTAACGTTAAGTATGTCTGGTGTTACGGTAGATTTTAGCTCCTGTTCTACTTACCAAGCTAAGTTGATGTGTCTCAGTACATCACATTCGCAACTTTCAAGGACTTTGTCTTTTGTCTTGACATGAAGGTAAAATAATGTAACAGGAAAAAATGTACCTTCAACAAGCCTACCAGTGTTCCATAGATAAATAAGGTGAAGGAGAGGTTAGATTATTATAGTTGCTGGGGCAGATGGAGGGGCGGGAGAGGAGAGAGAGAAGAGGAAGGAGCTGAGTGTGGCAGGTGGTGACCCTGGCCCACAAAGGCTCCACAGGAGGCCTCACTTTTCTTTGGCTGTTCTCTTGCTGGTACAGGGGCAAGTAAAGGAAGCAGATCGTCCTTGATATAGGTCAGGAGATCAGAAGGCAAATCTATGTTTTTGCCTTATTCAGACAGGATCACCCAATTTGGGGTGGGTCATAGCACTACTATTTTTTCTTTTTCTGGCAGTACTGGGCATTGAACCCAGGTCCTTCACACTGAGCTACATCCCCAGCCCTTTAAAAAAAATTTAAAAAAAGTTTTTTGAGACAGGGTCTTAACAAGTTGCTAAGTTGCCCAGGCTGGGCTGTAACTTGTGATCCTCCTGCCTCAGCCTCCTGGGTGCTAGGACAAAAAACACATTAAAAGCAACAAAATTCTGTAACATTCTTATTAGGATCACATAGCTACAGTGGACACCCAAATGACATTTAGAGCATATTATTTTCAGTTTTACAATGTTTGGCTTATGATTCCTTTGATATCAATGGTAAATATGAAAGAAGAAAATCTCACCTTAACATCAAATAGTATCCACAGCGCAATACACTTAGCACACAGAATCAAGTACATGTCATGGAAATTTTTTTTTTTGGTACCAGAGATCGAACTTGGGATCTTGCACTTGTGAGGCAGGCACCGGAACCACTGAACTAAATCCCCGGCCCTCATGGAAATATTTTAGTATTAGGCTAGAAGCCAAAGATATACCTATTCTTGACACAACAATTAACTGAGAAAACTTAGGCAGCCTATTTTGGTTCAGTGGACATCAGGTTTCTATTGATAAAATGTATGTTTGTTACCTTTTTGAATTTTTATCAGTGTAAGTGTTTGGTTATGTTTATTTTGCATTTCTGCAATGAAAGTGAGCAACTTTTCATACATTTAAGGGTCTTTCCTTTTCTATTGATATCTTCGGTCTATTTTGCTACTGGGTAAATGGTCACTTTCCTATACATTTCGTTTTTTTTTTTTCTCTTCTAAAACAGGGTCTCTTTGTGTAGCCCAGGCTGGCCTTGAAATTATGGCAATCTTCCTTCCTCAGCCTCCTGACTGCTGGGATTATAGGCATCACACCTGGCACTTTCCTATATATTTCAAGGAACTCTTTATATGTTAGGGAAATCAATCATCTATCTTTAATATGAATGGCAAATTTTTCCTGTTCATTTTTTATTTTACTTTATGTTTTCTTCCACTATGCAAAACTATAATGTAATGTAATATAGCTGAATATGTCAATTTTTTCTTTTATGGCCTTAACTGTTTTGGATAAGTTATTTTCATGTTTTTTGTCCTTTTCTTTTCCAAACATTTAGATCTTTGATCTGTTTGAGATTTATCCTGGCTCATGGTCAGAGGTATGGCTCCAACATCTTTCCTCTCAGGATGAGCAGCCCATGGTTACCTCATGGCCCTATGACCCGCCTTTATCCCACACTGACCTTCCCTAGGTACATGATGTTAAACTGTCCTGATGGTCTGTCATGGTGTGTGAGGGGTTAATGACTGAGGTATTTTCCCAGACACACTCTTGGAGATAGGGATGAGGTCACACAGAATTAAAAATTAGGAAGAACTGACTTCTTGATGACGCTGAGTCTTCCCACCCAGGATGTATTTTAATACATCTCTCATCTATGGTGTCGGGCCCTAGTTGATATTACCACAGTCACAATGAAACTGTCACTATTCATGAGATCTCAACTTACAAACTGACAAGATAAACTAGCAAATAAACCATCATAAAATGCAGAAAACATATTTGTCCTACAAAATGGAACCCTTTGGTAAGATGAAATCATCCTGAAATTTTCTGGTTCTGTTTGTCTGGAGACAGAGTCTCGCTATGTAGTTCAGGCTGGCCTGGAACTCATGGTGATCCTCTTGCCTCAGCCTCCCAAGTGCAGGGATCCTGGCTTGCTAGCTCTCTCTCCTCTTTTTAATTTTGTTCTTACTGTTCAAACTTGAGTTTTGCATTTCACTTCATTTTGAGTCTGCTTTTCCCTCTGTAACTGTCCCTTTCTGATGGGTCTGTAAGTTTATGTGTAGTCCTGTCTACTTATTTATAAACACTGTTTACTGCAGACAGTGTGAGTAGTTGTAGAACGGAACCCATGATGTCCAACAAGAATGTTTCAAGTTCAACTGGATTCCATTTTTTTTATTCTTGTGTTACTGGGATTGAACCCAGAGGGTGCTGAGCTACACTTTCAGAACTCTTTATTATATGTTCAAATAGTGTGTCTAAGTTGCTGGGCCTGGCCTCAAATTTAAGACTCTCCTGCCTCAGCCTCCCAAGCAGCTGGGATTGTAGGCATGTACTACCACACTAAGGTTACACCATAACTTTCTTAAAGACATTTTCTCCCTCTTTTCAGAGTTTCTGTGTATTTCTTTTCTCATTAAGGGACACAGTTTATTTTTTATCTAAGATTTATAGCTTCTTAATCATGTTTGCTGGGGGTCACTTTTCTTTTCTTTTTGAGACAGTGTCTCACTATGTAGCTCAGGTTGGCCTTGAATTCACTATGTAGCCCAGGCTGGTCTTGAACTCAAGGTGATCCTCCTGCCTCAGCCTCCCTAATGCTGGGGCTATAGGCATGCGCCACTGTGCCTGGCTGGGGTCAGTTTTCTATTGACTGCTTTTTAGACCAATGCACAGCTGTTATTCTGAAATTTCTCTTTATTGTTATCCTGGCAAGTTCTCTTTCTCTCTGTTATTTGACAGCATATAGTTTATTAATTTTCTGAGTACGACGGGAAAAACATTGTGCTTTGACAGTATTACTTTTGTCTTTTACAATCACAGTTTGGAGAGCTATGATGCATCCGATTCTTATTCCCTGCTGCTAGATTTCTAGATCTCTCTCCATGTGCACATCTGTATCTATCCTCACCCCAGGAATCCTCTGTATCATTTAGTGCTTCCATATTTGGTTCCATTTTTTCACCTTTTGAAATTTTAGGAGGGTTCCTTGACTTTTTCTCCTTCATTTTAATGATATTTTTACGCGTAATAACTGTAACTTTGATGTTAGCAATTTTTGAAAACATCACAAATGTCTGTTGTTTGATTCCTCTGAAACTATTACTTTCTCAAATTTTTTCTGAAGAAATGAATTACAATATTTTGTAAATTCTTTTCTGTTCCAGAGTGTTTTGTTTTGTTTTCTGTGGGGAAGGGGGTCAATTATTTCTCTGTTTATCTTGATTTTTTTCCTTTTGTGCTAATTTGCTTCTGGTTTCCTATGGCTTTTGGTTTGTGTGTTGCCACTGAAGAGTGAAGGACCAGCTCACATGCTTTCCCCTGCTGTCTCTGGCTGGTCATCTGA